TGCACTCTGTGTTTTTTCTGCAGGGGCAACGGAAGATCCCTAAAAACGTTTGAAGCCATGAACATTAGCAGAGTTATGGCACCGGCGCTGCTTTAAAAAGCATTGCGTCACCATAATTCTTTACAAAAACAGTGTAAGAAAAGATCAAGCATGAAGCTGAGTTTAAAATGTGTAACAGCAACCGAGTGTGCCGGTGAATTAAACTAACCGATGATGATGAGTCTGGTGGTTTGGAACAGCTGCTCATCGTCCCACGTTGGATGTTCTGTCTTCAGGATGTCGCAGACTCTGTTGTGCTCCCTCAACCAGATGGTGGCGTACATGGTGAGGCCCGGCAGGAGGCCGAACACCTCCTGACCGATGGCCAGACGCTGCTCATCGGGGAAGCCTTCAGGGTACACCATGTGCACAGGGACCTCAGAGGTTTTAGGAGGGTACATCTCACCATCTATCACCTGTTAATCATGAGTAATGTTAGTTTGTCTTTGAGAATTTCATCTCACGCTGACTTCCTGTGTCTTCATTAAGACATCTAAGGCTCTCCTGCTGAAGGACGCCTGACAAACACAGAGGAAGTGTTTCAACTTCTGACTGATTTCTCTTTAACCAGCGTAACACTTATCTGGTTAAATGCATCAAATCATTCTGAGGAATCAGCAAGTTACCTGAAGTGTAGTATTGTTTTATCACTGACACCTCCACCCCACAGCTGGAGCTGTTGAGTAACATCTGCCTACAGAAGCCACCACTTTACCATCTTCTTCTACAACATCATTAAATGTGTTAACGCACGTTTCTATACCTGATATTTTAACTTTCCATCTTTGTGAAGCCTGAGCTGGTGCTGTCTGTCGAGGCCTTCTCCGTAGATGTTGCTTGCATCCACCTGCACAACAAAAGCAACACAATCTAGCATTAAATCCAAGCAAAATGAGAGATTTGCAGCAGATTAGGAGCGTGTCTCACCCCGTGTCCTAAAGCCTTGGTGAAGCCTCCTTTAGCTGTGTGATCCGTCTTGAAGAACTGGTGGGTGAAGTGTTGAGCCATGAAGGCAAACATGAGATTTGTTCCTTGAGGATCTGGTCGAAATGTTTGCCTCTTGAAGAATCTCTCGGCCAACACCTCGACATCAGGAAGAACGAGTTTACCTGCGGAGGGAGACGGAGTTGTTGCTCTCTTCAGGACCGCGATGCTCCGTGTGAAGCTGCTCTCACCTTTAGTTCCCATGGGCAAAGGGCAGTCCTCAGGTACAGGAGGGAGGAGCCTGGTGTAGTAGGAGATGTTGTTGTAGGACTCCCAGCTGATGTAGCCATATCTGCTATTGTAGGTCGGAGGGCTCGGGATGAGATCATTTCTCACTGTGATTTTTGGAAGAAAAACAAGAAACAAGATGTTCTGATTGGTTTGCACGCATAACCAGTCGATTGACTGGTGGTTTTGATGGTTTAACTTACCAACCAGCACTAATCTCATGATGGTATCACACAGGAAAGAGTTGTTTATGATGTCCCAAAACCACTTGAAATGAGTCAGAAGGTAATGAACCACCGAGGGGCTGGGCTTCAGCTTCAGACGGATTTGGGTCCTAAACTCCGCTGCACAGAAAAATCAAATATGTTGGATTCACAAAGCAGATGCAGGCCTGTCAGTAGGCTTTATTGATTACTAATGTTAAAAACATGTTCAGTACAGTTTTGAACAATAAAGCAGACAAGAAGTTTAGATTTGTAGTTCGTTTATTTATTTTTATTTTGGCCGATTTTATTAATTTTCTGTCTCTTTCTGCTCAACATGCAGTCTTTTTTAGATGAATACTTTATTTGTCTGTTTGCTAAATCCATTTGTGAACGATTTAGTCTGTTTTAATTTGGATCTTTAGTCAACTGTTTACCACTAAAACAGCACCTGATTTCATTTATTTGGTTGATTTCTGTAAAAATACTAAATATGACTCAGCTTAACTGATAAAATAAATTGCATTTTAGGCCCAAAAGCTGAATCTCAAAGAGTCATGATGAGGCTGATGCATGATTAAAGTCCTGCTTCAGACTGTTGACGTATTTTTCCAACTTTCTGCTGATCGGGCTCGAGAACTTGACTGAAAAGGAGTGAAAAGTGGCCAAAAGTCTTAAAGACTTTCAGAAAGTAAGGAGAGAAGTAGATTACATGATCATGTTCTTACGAATGGTGCAGTTCTCTCCGTAGTAGCCCGTGTGAGAGCAGTCACATTTGTAGCCGTCTGTGCCAAATCGCACACACACTCCTGTGTTCTGGCATGGGTAGTAGCAACAAGGATTCACTGCAAAAGGGACAAAATCGATGGTTTATTATGATGTGGTGATGCCTAAATAGGTGTGTGTCTAATGTCAACATAAGCTAAAATTAATGCTGCTGCATGACTTGCTAAAATAACTTTTAGGTTGTTTAATCATTTCCAGTGGTCTGTAGTAGGAATGAATGCCTTGTGAGTCATACTCTGGGGAAGGAAAACACTGGCGCACCTTTTTCAGGAACTGGACGTGAGCCACATCGAAGCTGAGCTTCAGGCGGCAGGATTTGAAGTCTTAGGGTCGGGATATACTTTTTACCCTTGCATTGATGCTGCGTCGTTGTTCACACACTTGCTGCTGCACTGCGGGGCAACAGTAGCAGTAGCATCGATCCCGGCCCCCAGTAGGTAACTCTGCTGAGGTGTCCTTGGGAAACACACTTAACCACCTTACAGGCCGGTCGGGGTCGGAGAGATCGGTGGTGCTCGGCAGTCTCACCTCTGTCAGTGCACCCCAGAGCAGTTGTGGCTACATTGTAGCTCATCACCACAAACGTGAATGTGTGTGTGTCCATGAGTGAATGAGTGACTGTGTTATAAAGTGCCTTGGGGAGTTGTAGAACCCTAGAAGGTGCTATTACAAATACAGGCCATTTACACAATTTACTACACTGCAGGTAGTACTGGAGTGTTCCACTAGGGGGCACAGTAGAACTTCGACCGCAGGGCGTCCTGGATTTGTGGGTCCAACCCACATACATGTATGACCCAATCCCAATATTCAGACTTGCACCCTTGCGCCCTTCATTTGCACGTTCTTGGCCAGGGGTGCGAGTGCGGAGGGTGTCCCGATTCTCAAGTGCAGAAGTTGACCACGCCCCCATTGCACCCTTAATCTGCACTTCACCCAAGTCTGCAGTGACGCAGACCTCGGGCAAGGGTATTACCCACAAGTCAATGCTGCAGGAGAAAAGGCTCAAGTTTCTTTTCCTAAAATATGTATTTTCTAATGACATTAGTTCATTTTAGGATGATTAGTTGATGCTCTAAAACTTTTAGACAAAGCAGCAATGAATGTAAATTTATTTCAAATAACTGTTTGGCTGTTTGTTTAAAAGTTGTTAATAAAGGTTTTTGAACAAAGTATCACAGCGACCAGCATCCCGGCGTGCGTTGTGATCGATGACGCGATGCTCCCCATCTCAGTTCTGCTCACTTGTGTGCTACGCACTCGAAGCCTTACAGTGCACTTTCTCCAAGTGCACTTTGCTGAAGTCTGCAGGTGTTGAGATTGGGCTTATGCTGATGGTACAACAAAAACAAACGGTTGCTAATGCTAACAGTTAGCTTCTACTAGCCGACACCTTCTCAGCTGTCTCCTGGACGCTAAACCAGCAGCTATCCTCATTGCGAGTCAAGAAGGGTGAGCCCATGAAGTTTAAGATCAGGTTGTAACGTCACATTTTCAAGATTTTTTTGAGCTGAAACGGCATTTTACTTTTTACCAAAAGAGATCATTCAATGAAACAGGCTACAAAACTAAGAAACACGCAAACTAAACTTCCTAAACTTTTGTTGAATCGCCACCAACGCTCAGCGGGAGGACGTGACTTTCCACAACGTTCTGAATGCTTGAACCTAAAACAGTTGAAACTTCATAGAAGTTTTTTTTATTTCTATTTCCAGGAACTGCTGACTTGGCCAAAAAAAGTTGCTAATGTCTAAATCAGACCACTTCCACCTATCTCTCACTATAGCTTCCTGCTCTGCCTTCACAGCTGCAGGCGGTCCGTGAGATAAAATGACTCTGCATCAATTTCACGTCCTTATTAGCTGCTAAGATAAGGCTTCCATAATTTATTAATGATTTCAAAGAGAGGACAAGTTGCTGACGGCTTCAGAAAGCAGGCAAAGGATGGATAAATCTGTAGGCTTACATAGACCAGCTCAAGAACTTTAGATTTTTATGTTTTATTTTATTGTTTTAAGTGATGCCGTTCCCTCTTCTGTGTGAGGATTTCCCTGCACATACCCACTTACACCAGCAGAGGAACCAGTAAGAACACAACCTAAGCACACGTTTGCATGAAGTGGAAGAAGTCATGCAACCCATTGAAGGTGGTATGTCTAAAAGAATGAAGCCAAATTTTCAGAAATGAAACATGTTGGTTTGGTGCAGTCAAAGACAACATTTCTTTAGAAAAGTCAATTTAATCAAAATGTATCTTTTATCATCAATTTGTATTTTAATTCTATGAAAACCAAGCTAAGATGAAAGACTTCCAGGTTTCTGAACCGTGACAGAAGCTCGCTTCTGAAAGTCTTCTTACTCCTGCTTCAGTTCATTCGATTGTTTTCTTTCCTGTGACGTGATGAGGATTTTGATCTTTCCACTGAATTTGAAGAAGACATAAACTCTAAGACGTTAGAAACACTTTAGAAATAACAGTTTGTAAATAACAACACACATATAAGGAGGTTGCACATTTGTGTGCAATGATCCTTCACAATAAAACTAGTTGCTTGATTAGATGGAGGAAATTTCTAAATAACATCACAAACTTTGGGGGGAGAAAAAAATCCTGGAGTTTATTTGAATAGAATAATTACCACATTCTCCAATAAAATGATGATATAATTGCCCTACGAGGATAATAAAGGCTGTAATGAAGCGATGACTACTCACCAGTTCTTGAGTCACCAGCAGACAATGAGCTCTTCAGCAGCATCATAATCACCCAGATGGAAAAGAGGCTAAACTCTGCAACTTATAACAGTAATCTTAATAAATGGCTGTAATTCCATCAGTATGAGTAAGCGTTTAACCCTTTAGTTGTGGGACTTACCTTTCATGGTTATTTACAGTGAAATTAGGAGCAGGAGTGTGAGAGTCTAACACGCTTTATAATCTATCAAGAAAGGGCCGGCACACAGCTTCCTCCACTTCCTCTGGTTTCACACGATCTGTTGCTGCATCTTTAAATGTAAAAGTTGTGACTGCAGGCAAAATTAAATGTTTTTAGTTTGTAATTGAAACCAAAAACAAAACTATGGATATAACACAACAAATTCAACTTGTTTTATTTTTAATTCAAACCTAACATTGAATCTGCCGTGTGTTTATACATGAACTGCTATTCTTCTTCTTCATATTATTCTTTCAAGGGTTTGTGCTGCAGTAACAGGTCAATTTTCTCACCGAGGGATCAATAAAGTCTATTCTATTCTATTCTATTCTATTCTGTTCTGTTCTATTCTGTTCTATTCTATTCTATTGGAATCTAGTTTGAATATCAGAGAAGCTCAAAGTTCACTATCGCCACCTGCTGGAAGATTCGTTCAGCACATTGGAGCTGTTAGTTTATTCAGTTATATGTAATAAATATAAATCTAATACAAAAAAATAATAATAAAAACATCTCACAAAAATAAAAAGTTTACAATCACTTTAACCAAAAAGAGAAAGGAGTAGGCTGAAACCGAGGCTTAATAAAAACACGAATACATGCTTCTGTTTGCAGTTTATTAAAAGCAAAATGAAACAGGAAAATGATTAGCATTGTTTTATTCAAATCCTCTATATTCTACATGATATGTTGTTGTTTCTTACCTTTAACTATTTCCAGGAAGGCTTCACAATCAAAGTGAAGCTCAGGCTCAGCCTTAGAGAGATATGACAAAAAACTTAGAGTCCTGGAGAGATCTGGAGTAGCTCTGCCCTACGAGTGACCTTTGACCCCTGTGTTTCCTTAGTTGTTTTCTTATAGTTATTTATTCTTCTGGTTATTCCTCAGTTAGCCTCTGTTTACGTTTAGCCCGCTTATCCTTTTCCGTTTTTCCCCAGCATCCGTTTTCTCCCTGTGTTCCAGTTTAGTTTGTTTTCCCAGTCATTTCTCTTGTTGCCCAGCTCTTCGTTTTCCCTTCCCTTACTCCCTGGCTCTTTGTGTTGTGTGGTTGTGTTTTCTTTAGATTATTCTTGTCATTTACTTCTTTCAGTCTTTTAGCTATAGCCAGTGGCGGTTTTACCATTAGGTATAGGTCATCGGGCGCCTGGGGCCCCCTTATGTTGGGGGGCCCCTAACCCTGACGGCCGGCACCCCTGTGTTAATGCCACAATGGACTATTCCTTTAAGACGCGATACACAAACAGGAAGTGATTGGTAGTCATTCCACTCCAATCCAGTTGGTGGCAGTAATGCACCAAATAGTTGTTTGCCAAGTGCCATAAGACCACAAATAAGAAGAATAAGAAGAGAGGCGGGAGCGTTCGTAACAAACATGAAGCGATAGTGAAAAGATGAAGCGTGAGATGGAGTTATCCTAGTGGCTCCTGTAAGAGAAAGAAGCAGCTCGCTTTAATAAAAGCTTTTATCTTCACTTCAGAAAGTGACGTTTTTCTATGTAAACATCAGAAGGAAGCAGAAAAGGAAAGACGATGGAAAATGTTTAAAGGGATGAAAACATGGACCAAAATGGAAAATAGAAGAAAAAAGAAAGGCAAAAGTACAGGAGCCCTGACAGGAAGAAGAAAGCACTCAAAGGGAGAGAAAGATGGAAAAAAGAGGAGGACTAATAAAAAGTGAAAATAACTCGTGTCAGAAGAGGGGAGAGTTTGCAAATCCAGTTAAAGATGATTGTAGAACATTTTGTGTAAGGGGGCCCGTGTGTGTGTTCGCCTTGGGCCCCCAAATGGCTGAATCCGCCACTGGCTATAGCTTCATCTTCAGTTGTTTTCTATTTTATCCTGTTGAGTTCACCTGTGTTCATCATCAGTTAATAGTCACACCTGGTCATCATTGTAATCAGTAATCATCACACCTGTTCCTTGCCTCCACTCACCTCCTCAACCTCGTTGTTGGTTGCTTTATTGCTTCAAACCAAAACCGTGGCTTCGAATAGAACCATACCTGGCTGCCTCTGGATTTACCTGCATGTTGGATCCTGCTGCAACCTCTGATTCAGAACACTTTGCCTCACATGTGACATTTCTGGATCTGCTGCTGTTAAATGAATTACACGGTTTTATTTTTTAAATAACTGGTTTTGGGATTAATTAAAGTTGTCTTCCCAAAATTAGACTTGAGTGCAGACTACATTTACATTTTTACGTTTAAAATGAAGCATTTTTGCTCATGTAAACACTTACATCATCATAAGAGTTAATTACACAAAAAAAGCATCTTGATGTTTTGTAAATAAAAACAACTTTAATGTTCTTAAAGGAAACCGAC